TTTATTATTTCTTCGATTTTATTATATTTTTCATTTTTTTTCTTTTCTTTTTTTTCTTTTTGCAATGTTGGGTAACAATATACTCCCTTTTTGTTAGTTGGCATGGTGTGATCCTACAATTTCTGTTTGAAAGAATTGAAACTTTTTTTTTCTTCTTCTTCTTCGTTTCCGTTAACGCATTCCCTATCTGTTACATAAAGTGTTCCGATCCTACATTTCCTGATGTGAAAGAACTGAATTTATGTGTTTTTTCGACTCTGGCAAATAACAGGTTCCGATCCTATACTTATTATTGTAAAGAATCAAAACACCCCTTCTTCGATCCTGTTCGAAGATTGCCGAGTAACACTTTTCCTGATCTCCGTATTTTGACGATAGAGAAGTACCGGGAAGTTTGTTTACGTGTTTGTCCGTGACTGTTGTTGTTGGCGGTTGTAAGGTATTGTGCAAAGTAAGCTTGGAGTGTTCATTTAATATAAATTAAATCATATTAACTTTGAAAGCGCACGTGATGGAACAAACACGGTCTTTAATTACACTCTCGTCTAACAACACGTGGCCACCATTACCGCTTCGTCAGACTTTTTACACTGTTGCATCGAATGCAGTGCGTCAAGAAACTGTCTCTCTCTCTGTCTCTTTCTGTTTCTCTTTCTCTGTCTCTATCTTTCTCTGTCTCTATCTCTCTCTGTCTCTCTCTTTCTCTGTCTCAGTGTCTCTCTGTTTCTCTTTCTCTGTCTCTCTTTCTCTGTCTCTCTTTCTCTGTCTCTCTTTCTCTGTCTCTCTTTCTCTGTCTCTCTCTCTCGCTCTCTTTCTTTCTTTCTCCCCTTCCCTCTCCCTCTCCTTCTCTCTCTCTCTCTTTCTCTGTCTCTCTCTCTCTCTCTCTCTCTCTCTCCCTTTCTCCCTCCTCTCTCCCTTTCTCCCTCCTCTCTCCCTTTCTCCCTCCTCTCTCCCTTTCTCCCTCCTCTCTCCTTTTCTCTCTCCTTTCACTCTCACTCTCACTCTCCCTTTCTCCCTCCCCTCTCTCTCTCTATTCCTTTTTTTCCTTTTTTTTTTCTTTAACCCCGCGACCATTCCTCTAAACGTAACCCAATCTCCTCTAACCCAGCGCTGCCAGAGATGCATATGGACCCCATGCCTCCCGCCAGTCTGTCCAGATAAGCCAACAACACACACACATACGCACGCACGTAAACACACACACACTCACACACACACACACACTCACACTCACACTCACACTCACACTCACACTCACACTCACACTCACACTCACACTCACACTCACACTCACACTCACACTCACACTCACACTCACACTCACAGACACACACGCACGCACGCACGCACACACACACACACACACACACACACACACACACACACACACACAGGATATGACCGATGCTCGCGAACCTCTCCAACTCCCCCCTCATCCCCTCACCCCCATCCCTCCCCCTCACCCCTTCTCCTTCCCTCTCCCCCCTCCCCCTCCACATCGAACCCTCCATGAAAAATAAAATCCGATTTTTAAAATTTTATTCCACCGAAACGAAATCGTGACGTGGAGTGATCGACGGATGAAGCGACGTGGATGACAGATGGATGATCATTGATATAGGGGGGGGGGGGGGTTAGAATGAAGTAGATGGATGATAAGAATAAGAAAAAATAAAATCCGAATTTTTTATTTTAATTCCACCGAATCAAAATCGTCCAGACAGGAGGTGGATTTTTGTGGATCGTTGTTATTCCACACTTTGTGATGGTGGATGACCCGTCGGGCGCTTGGTGGATGAGGCCGTAGCTGAGAGGGTGATTGTGGATGAGTGATGGATGGAGTGACGTGGGTGAGTGATGGATGGAGTGACGTGGATGAGTGATGGATGAAGTAACACGGGTGAGTGATGGATGGAGTGACGTGGGTGATCGGTGGATGAGAGATGGGTGGATGGGGGTGCAGCTTTTGGATGAGTGATGGATGATGAGACGTGGGTGATCGCTGGATGAGAGATGGGTGATCGACGGATGAAGTGACATGGATGACAGATGGATGATCAATGATATGGGGTAGAATGACATGGATGAATGATAAGAATGGCATAGATGATCGATAATTTAGTCACGGAAATAATGACATGTGATGACAGAGGGAGTAACTGGATGATATGGATGACACTGATGGAATGACAAATGACTGACGGGTTGGGATGAAATGACTCATTCACGTGACTGCTGCATGGGTGACGTGGATGACTGGTGAGTGAATAGCATGGATGACTGTAGACTGAGTGGAATGACTCACATGACTGATGACTGAATGGCTGGAAATGAATGGCAAAGGTGACTTGTGACTCAGTGGCATGGATGACTAATGGTTGAATGACTCTCATACACATTCACATACATATAACATACACACATGCACACGCACGCGCACGCGCACGCGCACGCACACGCACACGCACACGCACACGCACACACACACAGGAAACAGTGTACTTGTGACTATAGGAAAAAAAAAACTTTAATGTAATTCAAAAGTGTTTGCGTCAGTATCCCTAAAAGATTGTTAAATTCGTGCTTCTGTGCTGTACCTTTTGCACTCTTTTCTTTTCTTTTTTCTTTTTCGTTTGTGGCAATTAAATGCTTACTTCCGCTTTCGGCATTCTGATCTGCTCTTGTTTTATTTATACTTATTGCAAAATTATTTATTCGTGTATTAAAAAAAAAGCATCTAAGGTCATAAGCGACGTATTCAAAATATAGCGATAAGTTAATAGAGCGATATTTGTGGATTTCCAGAATGGTTAAAAATGGGTTAGACATCAAAGATCATTTAGCATTGTGATAAAAGTATTGTGACAAAAAAGGGGTAAAAATGAGTAGATTTTTAGGATAACCGGACAGAAAGGGATGAAGAAGAAAAGAAAAAAAGGAAAAGGGGAGAAGATAAGACCATGAAGAATTTTCAGAGGCGAGGGTTGGGGTGATCCCTATAATGGGTCTCAGTTTCCGTTTCCTAAGCCCCCCCCCCCACCCACCCCAGGGCAACAGCGAGCAAGGGATTAGGGGGATGGGGGGTGTCACGCGATAGACGACAGACAGAAAGATAAATTATAAGGTATACCTCTCTCATTGAACCGATATTTTTATATACCTAATACTGCCACTACGATGCGCGTGTTCTTTATTTTTTTTTCTCAAGTGGCGAAAATATCTAAAGCCTTGAAACTCTTAATGTTTATTTTTTCAAATCAGCATTTCTTCTTCACAGTCGAATTCCCCAGTCAACTCGATTTACAGGAAGTTTAAACAAAACCGGCTCAAGGTAAATAACTATAACCTTTATGCTCGGTGTTTGTTTACAGTACTCTTGCATTTATTCGTTTCATCACATTGTTTCGTTGATAATTTGGGCTCTTGTGATCATTTATAGCAAAGAATTGTTTTTTTATCGTCCACGTAGAAGCAATAATATAATATTGATTTTTTTTTTAGTAGCTCGCAATCAGACACAAGCCCGAGAAACTTTTTGCTGTCTGCACAATGCACATACAACCTTCAGAAAGGAGAACCACGTATATATACAGGCACGCGATGCATAAGAGAAGAGGCTACGAAAGGGAAATTGAGTGAGAATGAGAGGGAGAGAGGGAGAGAGAGAGAGGGAGAGAGAGGGAGAGAGGGAAAGAGAGAGAGAGAGAGAGAGAGAGAGAGAGGAGAGAGAGAGGGAGAGAGAGGGAGAGAGAGAGGGGGGGAGAGAGAGGGAGAGAGGGAGAGAGGGAGAGAGAGTGGGAGAGAGAGAGAGAGAGGGAGAGAGAGGGAGAGAGAGTGGGAGGGAGGGAGGGAGGGAGAGAGAGAGAGAGAGAGAGAGAGAGAGAGAGAGAGAGAGAGAGAGAGAGAGAGAGAGAGAGAGAGAGAGAGAGAGAGAGAGAGAGAGAGAGAGAGAGAGAGAGAGAGAAGCAGAAAGAGAAAGAAAAGTAGAGAAATATAAAATAAAAAGAGAAAGAGAAAGTGGGCGAGGGAGAAATATTTATTCATTTATTGAAAATATCCTACTTCGTCAACATCTCCGGTCATCAGCGGCGTATTCAAAACATAGCGATACCGTGTGGCTTGGGGCTTTACGAGTGCTATATGACATCAAAGATCATATAGCGCTATAGTAGAGTAGAGAAACGGGTTAGGAATGACTTAATGATTAAGGTAAAACTACAGGTTGAACACCACGAGAGGGTAGTATGGTAGTGAAAAGGGTAGAGAGGGAAAGCCGATGGGGTATAGTTTAAGGTAAAGTTTGTTAGAAGAGGAAGGAGTTAAGGGAGTAGGGAGCATTATGATAAAAGTATTGTAGTGAAAACGCCAAAAAGGAGTTAATTATAAGGTAAGTGGATAGAACATGGGGATAAAGGAAAGGAAAAGGAAGGGAGGAGAAGAAAAGACCATGCAAAATTAGTTGTGGCAAGGGCAGAGGACCAAGGTAGGGATGGAGGGATGGGGCGATGGGAGAGGAAGAGGTAAGGGAAAAGGGAAAAGAGGAAGAGGGAAGAAGAGAGAGGGGGGAGAGGAGGGAAAAATGTGGAGGCAGAGTTCCTCAAAACTAGTGTAAGAATTCCCTTTATCAAAAAGAACATTCAAATATTCCTTGCTCAATAATAATCATATTTATCTTCATAATGAAACAAGATTTAAGAATGATAATAATAATAATCACTGTAACATTAATTATACTTTTTGAAATATTTCAATAGGTATATCTTTTGTAGTTAACAATTATATTTAAACAACATACTCTTGGAAGAAGTTTATATATACCACAAAGGTTTTTATTACTCATAGATAACTCAAGACAAGAAAAAAATATATGCATAAATACATACAAACATAAGATGCATACAATAAAATAAACATGATAATTATATATCCTTTGTCATTTTATACATGCACATTACACTTTTTTATGACACATATATTCGGGCTAATAAAAACCAAACACCTAATTAGTTACATCCTTTATTTCTGACAATTAATAAGATATACTTTATAGAATAGTAAGTACTCAGAAGTAAGTACAAATAAAACAATTTCCTTTTTACATATAATCCAATGTAATTTAAACATATACTCAAAAGATATTTCAGAACATTTTTTTTTTTTGGTCTATATGTAATACAATGACTTAAATCTCAAAAAGACATTCACATGAAAATTTGACAACACTTAGAATGAATTACCTTTTTTTTTTGGATGTATTAATACTTGTAAAATACTGTAATATCAATATCAAATGATATATATCTATTACAGACACAGACAATGCATCAGCATACAGACACTCTAAAATAGAAATCTGCATATAAAAACGAACATTCTCTGACATATTAATTACTCAAAATACAATAACTGGCTTTGTTCCATGCAAAGATAGAGGAGTTAAAAAATCAAATATTTCTTGCTCATAAGAATCCTGACACAAAATGACTCTCATAAAAAATTGTGTTCTCTTTAAAATCTACTTTCTTCCTTCTACTCAACGACTCTATTACACGATCCCGGTTGGACTGTTGATACTTCTTTCTTAATATTTTCAAAATTTCAATCTCGATCTCGACTTGGCATTTTCTAACATAAAGAGATAAACAGATAAAAAGCAGCTTCACCAATCTGAAGTCTGGAATTACTGACAAAGGAGGAAAAGAAAAAGAAAAAGAAAAGAAAAGAAAAAAAAAGAGCACACTTTGTACCCAACAAACTGTTCAACTTTTTTTCTTTTTCCATAAAAGGAGAGGCAAAAAGAAAAAGAAAAAAAAACAGAGAAATAAAAAAATCCTTACAAAATAAGGCTATACTACTAGCACTCCTTGAATCCATTAAACACTACTAGGTCATAATTTCCTCCAATGTCTCTGTGTGGAGATGGCAAGCCAGAGCTCTGGGGGTAAGCAACAGAGAGAGAGAGGTGTCTAGCCATCAACCAACCCCATAAGGAGCTTCTTGTAGTCCCCGCCAACATCGTCCTAGAACAGATTGCACCTCATTAGAATCTCGCGTCTTACAGGGAAGGCAAAAGTAGTTGAGTGGGGGAGAGAGAGAGCACTGACCCCTTAGCCTTCAACAAGCGCAAGGAGTACTCGCTTGTAGTCGCCCGAGGTGTCGTCCTGTAAAGATTGAGAGATGATTGGGGGGAATTAATAAACATGCAAAATCCTCCCTACGAGCTACATCCAATATGCCCATTACTGTATGCCACAAAGACCTACAAATTCACTAACAAAAGCAAGGTCTACAAATACATGAACAGAGAGGGAGAGGGACGGGGACGGGGGAGAGGGGGGGGGAGGGAGAGGGAGAGGGGGAGGGAGAGGGAGAGGGAGAGGGAAGGGGAGAGGGAAGGGGAGAGGGAAGGGGAAGGGGAAAGGAGAAAGGGAAGGGGAAAGGGAAAAGGAAAGGGAGAGGGAGAGGGAAAGGGGGAGAGGGAGAGGGAGAGGGAGGGGGAGAGGGAAAGAGAAGGAAGGAGAGGGAAGGGGAAAGAGAGAGAGAGGGGGGAGGTGAGACAGAGACAGAATGCTCCCTACAAACTACATCCCATTTGCCCATTACTGTATTCAACAAAGACCTACAAATTCACTAACAAAAGCAAGGTCTACAAATACATGAACAGAGAGGGAGAGGGAGAGGGAAAGTGAAAGAGACAGACAGACAGACAGACAGACAGACAGACAGACAGACAGACAGACAGACAGACAGACAGACAGACAGAGACAGAGGGACAGAGAGGGAGACAGAAAGAGAGAGGGAGACAGAGAGGGAGACAAAGAGGGGGGATGAGACAGAGAGAGAGAGAGAGAGAGAGAGAGAGAGAGAGAGAGAGAGAGAGAGAGAGAGAGAGAGAGAGAGAGAGAGAGAGAGAGAGAGAGAGAGAGACAGAGAGAGAGAGAGAGAGAGAGAGAGAGACAGAGAGAGAGAGAGAGACAGAGAGAGAGAGAGAGAGAGAGAGAGAGAGAGAGAGAGAGAGAGAGAGAGAGAGAGAGAGAGAGAGAGAGAGAGAGAGAGAGAGAGAGAGAGAGAGAGAGAGAGAGACAGAGAGAGAGAGAGAGACAGAGAGAGAGAGAGAGACAGAGAGAGAGAGAGAGAGAGAGACAGAGAGAGAGAGAGAGACAGAGAGAGAGAGAGAGACAGAGAGAGAGAGAGAGAGAGAGACAGAGAGAGAGAGTCAGAGAGAGAGAGAGAGAGACAGAGAGAGGGAGAGAGAGACAGAGAGAGGGAGAGGGAAAGAGAGGGAGAGGGAAAGAGAGAGGGGAAAAAGAGAGGAAAAAAGAGAGGAAAAAAGAGAGGGAAAAAGAGAGTATTGTACAGTAAGCCCTTGTCATTACATAATACACCCAGCCCTATTATTCCTAGACATTTATACAAACCCATCACTTCAAAATATGAGTATTTCCTGGTTACAGATTAAATTTTAAAAAAAAGCAATCTGTTGCACTCTGGAAAAAAATGCACACTGGAAAAAAAATCATGTTCTCTCAAACGAAAAGATTCAATTTTGATAAGCTTCAAATGAAAAATGGCCATGAGGAGAAAAAATGGTTACCTAGGCTTTTTAAAAAATGGCATTTCTTCTCATGAGAACACCTCCCATACACAAAAAAGTCAAGATTTTAGTACAATCCACAATCCACATTGATCCTGTGTCTAAGTTTTTAACACAGATGAATTAACCGAATGCTGCCAGGTAATCCCACTGTCTACTGGTCTACTGTTGTTTTCATTCATGAATTTTGTTTGATACACAGATGACTCCACAAGTACTTATCCAACTCAGAAGCCAATTACTAAATTTACATGACCTTAGCTGATTTCCCCTTTCCTTGAGTTTTCAGGATATTTTCTACTCATGCTATATTAATACCAGTGTTGTTTTTTTTTTGTTGACATTAAGAGCATTATAACCTTATGAACAGCAAATACCAATGATAAATCAAAAAGATTCTTTCCAAAAACCAAAGAGAAAGAAGTAACCAGCTGAGCTAAGTGATTAAATAGTTGTGGAGCGATCAAAGTGTAAAAAGCATCAATAAACAAAAAGACACAGTGGACACGTCATGTGTTATTCCCATCCCATTAACACTGGGTTAACATGCCTCTCTCTTCTGTAACCCCATGCAGCAGTGTATTATGGAACCTAAACACGGGATCAACACCGGTCGCGGATTATGCAAACGTCCCTAAAAGTATAAAGATCATTTTGGCCATGTTTCATCTTCCCTTTGTGCAAAAGTTATATAATCAGGGACAAATCATGGTATTTAGAACACACTCAGACAACAACAAGGAGATGTTAAACTTACATGGTTAAAAACTACACACAAGGCACATAAGGCACACCTCTATATTAAAAAGCCAAAATAGTTTTCCATTTGACTTCCCAGGTCAGTTTGGATAATCAAATGTGATTTTATTTACATTCCCTTTGCTTGCTTTCATATTTTACCATGAAATCAAGATAAAAAGTCATATTTATAATCAACAAGTAACATTCAAACATATTCTTCTATTTTTTCAAACCCAGCACTAAAGACTTAATAAAAGTAATAACAGAAATAGGCTTGACAAGAGAATATATATAAAAGTTAGAAATAAATAGATAAATAATTCCATTTATAGATGTATGTAAGTGGCCAAGGCCTCAATAAGTCTCTGAAGGAACCAGAGAATAAAATGATCTAGGAAAGTACAAAAAACTGACAGCATGTAGTGAGCAAAAATTTTGTTTACATCATAACACATGTCAGTTCATGAATAAACTGTTGAAAATTAATTACATCACTTCTGTTAAATTATATTTTAACTTTGATCAATTAATTAGCAGAAACAAACATACCTGGGCTGGTATTCATGACAGGTCATAGAATTTTCTTTGACAAATTCAAGAACTGTCATAAAAACAGTCTTTGACTACAAGACTGTCGCACAATTTGCTTGAGATTCGGTCTAAAGACTATCATTAGCAGTTTTGTCTATGACTTGCACTGTGCCACATTTCAAAATCAATACTTAACCAGAACTAACACTTACATTATGATTATAATCCAATATAATAATGGAATAAAATAAATATTGCAGTGACTTTCACCTATGTAATGACTATATCATCAAACATTATCATGTTTCATGTCAACAAGGCACCCTCCATGTCTGTTGTCATTGTATCTGCTGTGAAGGCATGTGGCATCATTTGTATTTATCAAAAGAAAAAAATGCAGTAAACATGGAGGAAACAACTCACTTTAGGATTGGTGATGAACAAAAAAGTGGCATGAAAGTTTTCCATATAACTGCTGAGGAGAAGTGATCTTCAGCTTATGTAAAATCAAATTATTGTAGCCCACGTCTCAAAAGAAAAAAATAAAGTCTTGCACCTGAGTGACAAAATCTGAGCCATCTTAAACTTCAGACAGAACAGACAGAATTGCAGTCAAAATTATTTTCTTCTTACAAACAAATCTCAGAGTCTATGACCTTTCATGAATACTTCCCGATTCCCCCTCCCAAAGATTAATATAAATCCTTAAATCATAAAATCCATCATGCAACTACAAGCTACCCATTCAAACCAAGCTACTTATTATTTGTTCAGTAAAAAGCATCACAAAAAGTTTAGTCTCAATCAAAAGTGACCCATATCTTGAAAGAATGGCAATCCCCACCACAATTTGATAATTAACAACCATAAATATTACATTCACCTATTAAATAAAATCCCATCCATCAATAAACGTATAAAACAAGATCAAGGGGTTACTGTACCTACTGTGAACCCATCTACTCGCTCCTACACGAAAATCCAACATTTTACTTCATTTTAAATAATCCCTTTTACTTTCCATACTTCTTACAGTACGCCTAAAAGTCTGCTTCGTCTTACCTTGATGTCCTTCTCCAAGGGCTTCTTGTACAGCTTTTGATATTCCTGCTTGATGTTGCCCATGTCAATCTCGCTGCGAGACACCACCAGGCGAATGAGAGCCCTGTCGTTGGTGCCTGCCCCTGCCATGGAATTATGCAGCTCCTTGGCAAAGAAGGCTGCACGGTTCTCAATGCACTGATCTGAAATGGAGAGGCATTTGAAGGGACCTCGTTATGTATTCGAAGTGATTTTATCTTATCTTTTTACCTATTAACCGATTTCACCTTGCTTTGAGTTTTTGGAACTATTCATTTCACTTTACAAAGGGTATCAATATTGATGCAGTTATTATCAATATGGACTTAATGCCTACAAAACTCCCCTCGCTTAGTCTATTCGAACAAGGATTTACAGTATATTCCAGCTGAGAAAGAGTTAAAAAGTCCCGGATGAGGTGGCATTGGAATAAGCGAGAGCACAGAGCACAGGATCTTAACAAAATTCCCTGTAACTGCAGCTACAGAGAAGACTACAACCAAACGTCATTCAGTATCGATGCCAAAATTGACCCATAATGCAGACTTACTTACAAAAGGCATGTAATGGGGGAAATGATCCACATATCGATCAACTGGTGCTGGGTAAATACACTCTCCACTGTAGTTTTGATTTGTGAATTTTGTTTGCACAGAGAAGGATCCTTAAGAGCTCAGTCAGCATGGAGCCAACTAGTACGACGTCGTTTCCCCTTTACTTATAATTTTTGGCAAAAATGTCTTTCTTGTGCGATTAATGGCAAAACTATTTAAAAAATGACTGCTAATAATAATGATCATAATGTTATCAAAATCATAATAGCAATAAAAAACTAACAATCTCTCCAAAAATAAAAACAAAAGGGTAAATAGGTGAGATTGTTAGACCTAGTAATAGACTCCTGTTTACCAACCTCTTCTGGAGTCAACACCATGCAAACAAAATCATATAAAATCACAGTTTACAGGTATACTTCCCTTCCCAGCATCTTTGGGTTAATTGTGGAACGTTCAATTACATTTAGAACTCCTGGTACTTTGGAGGTATAGAAGAAGATGACAGAATTACCATGTCACTTTACTACAAGTACCCACAGCACTGAGGTATTTGTAAGGCAATCACGTTAAGAAAAGAACAACATATCTACACCGAAAGCAAACAATTTAAACCTGTCTAAACAATACTTACAGATGGTCTTCATGCCAAGCTTCAGGTCTCCAGACAGCTCGGAGTCAATGGCATCACCAAAGGTCTTCCCCTTAATCTTCCTGTATTCTTCAAACACGCAGCGCAGGAGAGGATACGAGTAGGCCGACAGGATGCGGTTGAATTCGGACTCGTCTGTTCCAATCTTGCCTTCACCTGCAGATCAAAAAGTTTTTAAAATATCTAAAGTTTAATTATGTTAAAGATATGTTATTAATTTGTAAATATGTAAAGTTTAATTACGTAAAGATGTAAAGTTTAATTACATAAAGATATGTTATTAAGATGTAAATATGTAAAGTTTAAAAATGTAAATATGTAAAGTTCAAATATGTAAAGATATGTTATTAATATGTAAATATGTAAAGTTTAATTATGTAAAGATATGTTATTAATATGTAAATGTATAAAGTTTAAAAATTTGTATATGATTTCTTTCCTGTGCCTTCACAAGAAAAATAAACCAGAACTTGTTTCAGCTCAAAAATATCCAAATCTTATCAATATTGTATATTTACTTAATCCATTCTGAAATTGTTTATTCATTGTCAAATCTGGTTCCTTTCCTTTTAACCCTATGGCTGTTATTAGAAGAAACTAAATTTAGTCATACAAGACACACAGATCTCAACGTCCTTACAACTGTTATCAATTTTCACTTTTTATGAAATTTCCATGCATGACAATTTATCCTTAAAAGAAACTAGGAAAATCGGAGCACTCCAGAATCCACACAGAGTTACCAATTTCATCTTTCATGAGATAGGACAGAGTACAGTTGCACTACTGTTTCCTGTTCATCCTGAAGTTTCATAAATATTTCTTTTAAGTCTCATTTTACTACTCATCATTCCACTGACATCACCACTTCTTCATAACTAAAGTATTCATTAACCAATTTCCTTTAATTCATTATGAACTGCTTACCTACAATCATTAAGTGCCATATACATCCATTGTGAATGACAAAGTAATCCTAGATTTTGATATAAAGTTAAGAAAAAGTTTCATACCTTTCAGTAAACCTTTTTTTTTTCTTCTTCTTCTTCAACATTCCTCATCTAAATGTCTTTGCTACAAACACATCCAAATCATTTTCACAAGTTTCTTATACAATCTACTAAAGAAAACCCTTAGACAACTGACCTGCCTTGTACAGCTGTTGGGCCAGGTTGTTTGCCAGGGCTGGATCACAGCTCGCCTCATCCCTGGCACATGCGCACATTGAAATGAGGAGACGGCGGAAATCTCCTGAGGTGTCGCCATGAAGTTCTTCCTCGAGCTTCTTGCGGTAATGCTGATAGTAGGCATTCTTGATCATCCTGATGTGGAAAGAAACATATGGGCATAAATAATACTGATAATATCTTCTATTACTAATCTAATACATAAAACTTAAATGTTTACTAAAATAAACATAAATTATGCTGATAATATCTTCCATTACTAATCTAACACATAAAACTTGAATGTTTCCTAAAATAAACAACGGTTTAAATTCATTTTGATTGTGTTTATGAGTCAAAATATTTTTGGTAAAATTTCTTTCCCACTTAACCTGTGAACAAAATCTGCCAGACAAAGCAGGCACATATATACATACAAAAACCCTAGAGAGAATATTTCCATAAAAAATCTGACAGTGAAAAGAGTGAATCAGCAGACATACATAAGTGAGGCATTGTCCCTAGTGCACAGGATCTCTACTAGGGTTCTCTCATTGGTTCCGACCCCGGCAATGGCGTGATTGATCTCTTTGGCAAGGAAGAGCGGCAGGGGGGTCATCAAGGCAAGAATGACGTCTTCAAATTTGCCACTAAGCTCACTCTTCAGGTCCTTCACCAAGTCCTGCGCAAAAACTTGAATAAGTCCATCTTTCTTTACTAAAAACAAAAATCATATCTATCAAATAGAAAAATGCATTAACAACTTTTTCATATTAAAAACATTTTCTACAAGCATTACACATTAAAAAAAAAAGAACCTGAAAATAACAAAAGTTGATCTTCCTTCCATATCTGTCCCGCAGGTTCTAATTTCTTACACAAAATAAGGATTTCTATCAATACAGTAATGAAACTACATAAAATCATGAAGGTGTTTTAGTATGCATCAACATAGGGAAAATGGAATCACTTACAGATGATGCTGAGAATATTAAGCTTTGAAAAAATTCAACATTTCTTGCAAGTCTGCCTATCTACATTCTTCCAGTGATAAGTGAGGTGCAAGTGCATTGGGCTAAAACGTCCCACATGTAAGTCAAGTGCAGTAGAGTACAAGGGCAGGGGAAAGGGGAAAGAACAAAGACTGGGAAGAAGTGAAAATGAGTTGTAACAAGAAATGAGGAAACAGACGTGATATACACAAACAGGGAAGGCCGGAAGCATCACGAAAGAGGGTGTGCGGGATGTATCAACCGTTTGGTGGAAGTTTTCTGGATAATCTTTTTTGAATAAATATAATGACATGTCCATATGCTTCAGGTAAAATCTGGATAAT